GCCCCCCCTACATCCCCTGGGCACCCCCCAAGTACCCCATAGGCATCCCATATACACACATCCCTCAGCACCCCATAGGCACCCCCCAGCACCCTATAGGTACCCCAGGCATACCCCCAGCACCCCACAGGCATCCCATATACAACCCCTGAGCACCCCATGATCACCCCATACACGACCCCCCCAGTACCCCATAGGTACCCCATAGGTACTCCATGAGCACCCCGGCCACCCCCTCAGCACCCTATATTGCACCCTGGGCACCCCCTATGTACCCTGGGAATCCCCCAAGCACCCCATAGGCACCCCATATACACACACCCCCCAGAACCCCATAGGCACCCCATGGGCACCCCCTATGTCCCCTGGGCACCCCCCAAGCACCCCATAGGCACCCCATATACACACACCCCAGGACCCCATAGGCACCCCATAGGCACCCCCCAGCACCCTATACGTACCCTGGGCATACCCCCAGCACCCCACAGGCATCCCATATACAACCCCTGAGCACCCCATAGGCACCCCCCAGCACCCTATAGGTACCCCGGGCATACCCCCAGCACCCCACAGGCATCCCATATACAACCCCTGAGCACCCCATGATCACCCCATACACGACCCCCCCAGTACCCCATAGGTACCCCATAGGTACTCCATGAGCACCCCGGCCACCCCCTCAGCACCCTATATTGCACCCTGGGCACCCCCTATGTACCCTGGGAATCCCCCAAGCACCCCATAGGCACCCCATATACACACACCCCCCAGAACCCCATAGGCACCCCATGGGCACCCCCTATGTCCCCTGGGCACCCCCCAAGCACCCCATAGGCACCCCATATACACACACCCCAGGACCCCATAGGCTGGCCACCCCCTACGTACCCTGGGAAGCTCCCAGGAACCCCATAGGCACCCCATGTACACCCCCTCAGCACCCTATATGTGCCCTAGGCACCCACAGGCACCCCATAGGCACCCCATACACACCCCCAGAGCACCCCATAGGTACCCCCCAGCACCCCAAAACACCCGCCAAGCACCCTGCAGGATGCCCCGGTACTGCCCTAAGCACCCTATATGCACCCCAGACACCCTAAAGGCACCCCCTTGGCACCCCAGATGTACCCAGCCCACCCATATGCACCCTATATGCACCCCCGAGCACCCCACAGGCTACCCATGCTCACCCCAAGCCCTTGCCCAGCATCCCATAGGCACTTGCCCAAACACCCTATAGGCACCCCAAGCACCCTA